TTGCTGCACAGCCAACTGTCGGGGATATAGTACCTTCATATGACTACTCATACGTATACAACAGAAAAAAACGTTGCATGGACTAAGTGAAAAATGGAGATCTAAATGAAGAAACGATGTATTTCAGCATGTATTAAAACATTTTAGTTTTATTTTAGGCCTTCTTCAAAATACCTATACCTACAGCAGATGGTTTTTTTGCCGTAAAACCAAAATAGTTTCATCCATGCCGACATTCCGGTCGGTTAGCGTGAGCCCTGACTGAACCCTGTAGAAACTTCACATCGATCTTCGCATCGCGATGTAAAACAAAATGTCGGAAAACTTTTCTTTGACGCATGCGCATTTGCGTAAATGTCTACACACACACATACACACTACACACAATAAAAAACATAGGAAATAGCAAGAGTGATTACAATAGTTCCTATTGCATTACATGCATAGGAACTAAAAATCATAATACTAAAATCTGCATCGTACTTCCGATCAGCACCAGATTTAGAGAGGGCACGTAATATATTCAGTGTGTGAAAATGTCAAGTAGATCGGTCCAGTAATTTTGAAGTTATTCGTCTAGAAGTACAAATGCTATAATGTAATAAGGCTTGTTTAAATAGTTATATAATTACACTAAATTAATATTTTAATAACATGCATAGGCGGCAGTGCTGTTAAATCATTGTGTGGCCCAGTAAGCACTTTCCGAGGGAGCTAGAGGCTGGGGCCGAGAGGTCACCAATGACAAATTAGGTGCATTAGAAAAATAGGTGGTAGGGCTTGCTTTGTATTTTACCATTTATATTACACTAAATCAGCCAGACTGTTCAAACTTTTGCAGCTAACAAGATAGCTGACGCTGCATCAAGCATCACAACACCACAGAAGTCCCCTCCCAGGATCGTGGAAATCTATCAGCCAGGCACAGAAAAAAAGAAGAAACGCAAGCTTTACACCTATATATCTACCCCATTTGAATGCAATCCACATGAGGTGAGTGGTTTCTAACAATTACACTAATAATGATAATTCCATAAAAAAAAAGCCCAGATTCTTGCTCTGTACTACAAAGGTCTATTCACTTATTCCGCAGGTTGAGCACACATTATTTTACCTTTTCCATGAGAGATTTGGTTATTGTTGCAGTCTGTAAATAGGCCTTCATATTACTCTTAAAATATGACTAAATCTTAATAATTATTTATCTATTGTTTTTATTATCTTAGCACTCTGCATTTTGTATACTCTGAGCCTTTATTTCATTTATTTTGAAGTATATAATATTACATAAATAATAAAATAGTGAAAAGTAAAAATAAAGTATATTGGTAGATTTACAGGGTATGATCTATAAATCTGCAGGATTTTTGTAATATCGTGTTAAATTTGATTTTCGTAAAGGAAACTTCTATAAAATTAGTAATTTATAAAATCAAGTTCATATTTCAGGGATTATACTGTATTTCCTTTAGGTTTTTATCAATCTGTGCTGCCAGTGGAAACAAATTGTGAATAATAATAAAACTCCTTTTTTCAGGTTATTTATCACACAAAAGTAGCAGACAGTTCTCATGGAATTGTGACAAAGAAACTTAAAGATCTATGCAGTCAAAGGTCCAAGTAAAGCATAATAGTTGTCCCGCTCTCCTATCACCCTAACTTTGTTTTGGTGTATCCTAGTATGACTAAAAAAATACCATTTTTAACATTTTGAACTTTGACCTACATTTTTAATTTTATGAATTGATTATGAGGCTTTTAAATATTATTTTCTTATTTACTATCTAATTATGTGCATTTTGACACCAAGATCAGCCATTAGGCCTAAAAAAAAAATGGTTTGTTTGATGTCACATTGTAAATATTTCAGTGAAGGGGCGGGTGGAAAAAAGTTAAGTTTTTTTTTTTTTTTTTTAAAGAAAAATACCAAAACTGTCTTTATAAATGTTTGTAAATGTCATTAGGGGTGGGATAAAAAAGTTTTTTTTTTTAAAATATACAGTATAAACTGAATATATTTCCCTGGTCAAGCTCACCAGTTTCATTTGATATTGGTCATGTTGGTATCTCAGCATATGTGTATGATTTTTTATTTAGTTTTTTGTGAAAGTTTGAATTTCAATAAAGAAATGAATGAACACAAATTTTCTTTAATTCATTTAAACATTTTTATTGTGAATATACAAGTGTACGTTGCCAAAGCCATCATATAAGCCTAAAATTATATTACATATCCCTGCATTATTAATGACGTGGGCATTCTCGACCCTCCTTGTGGCATTCACCACAAATGGGCAAGACCACTTTGTATTTTATAACAAGTTCTTGCGGCCTTGATCCACCGTCTTCACCACAATAACAGCAGGTTAATGGGTTGCCAATTCCTCCAGAGTAGAAGGCAAATCCTATGTGATTTGCACATGTTATTCCTCTGCGTACAAAGACCTACCAATGAAGAAGAGTTTGAGTGGATAAAGTTTGCATGGTCTAACTATAAACCTGCTAAAATGGGTTAGGGAATCTTATTGTCTTCCTCAAAATTTCTTAAATATAAGCAAAAAAAAAAAAAAACCCGCCCCTGATTTTTCGGATTTTAGGGGCGGCGGATGACGGCAAACAAATAAGTTTTTTTTTTTGGCCTTATTATACTATAGAGTTTAAGTACTATCTAAATCACATGTCAAAAAAAATGTTTTCAAAAATCTAAACAAATACTGTACAGCTACAGTATATCTCCCCATGATGTTCTAACGCAAAGATATGTGGCTAGTCCTGGTATCTTTTAAAGTGACTAGTAAACTACTCTGTGTGAGCCATTTTGATTGCCAATCCCTTATTGTGGTCAAAAAATAAAAGCACAGTTTTGGGCCTTAAAACTCGCCCCATGAACCCTACCAGGATTTTTTACTGCGGGACCCTGATTGAGGTTATATTCGGCATCTTGGTTTTCGGACCCCTCTTCGGCAAATTTCTAGAGCCACCACTGGAGTAAACAGAGCCAGGTCCATATTCAAATGATTGAGATACAGTAAATAACAAAGAAAATCTTTAATGTGTACAATTTTATTGATAAAAACTTGTAAGCTTAAGAGCAATAATGTACATTACAGAAAGAAAAAAAAACCTTGAAGTGTTATGTGAAAGTAACGTAACAAGGACCAAGTTATGCAAATCTGTTTACAATAATTAAATGTGTGCCTGCAATCAAGGAGCCGTATGCACCTGTTGTAGACATCATTGATGCTAAGCAAAGGGGAAAATTGCATACTGTACTCGGTTTGTTTATTACTGTACTTCTAAAGCCTTGTCCAGACTATCAACATTTGCTTGACAAAAACATGCGACATGCCTAAATATGGTCATGATGACATCACAACAGATAATTTGATAGTCTGAACAGAGCTTTATAGATTCGTACAGTCTGTGGAGAAATCTGAAAGCATCAAAACTTGATTTGCTCATTTGTGAGTTCTCACCACGAAATGAGACGCATCATTGGTGAAGTCATATTGAGATAAGATAGTATAATACATACTCCAAGTATCGAAATGCAGGCCATCGTGTCAGGATTCAATATTTCGACATTAGTATTCCTGATGATGACATAATTAATGTCGAAAATATTGAATCTCAACACGATGGCGTGCATTTCGATACTTGAAGTATTTATTTATTATGCTATCTTATCTAAAATTAATGAGTGGACCTTTGGGGTTTTTTTTATTGAGATATTCACTAAAATAGATTAAAGTCAAAATGTTTACAAAATTTTGATTTTAACATTTTAAACAAATATTGTTATATTTTATGATTGTATATTTTGTAAGTGAACTTTCTTACTAAGACAGTGTATTAGAGTACTATGACTCAGTTTGTGGCGAGACCTCACATTTTTAAAGCATCAGGTAAATGCATTTATTTAGTTCAATATTTTTTTGAAAGTTATTAAAGCTGTACAGTATTACTTAAAACCAAATACTGAATTTTATTTCCATGTGTATTTATTAGCAGGCAATATCTTTCAGTAATGTGATTTAAAAATTAAAAATGGACAACTTGGGATACAAAATAACAAAAAAATTGTGAATTCCTTTGAGAAAGATAGTCGAAGACAACATACAACATATTTACACAAAAGGGAATAACCAGACGGTTCTGATCTAGCTGCTGAAGTTGGTGTACTGTACACAAACTAACATGCTTCTTTAGGCCAAAAAATCCATCTACACTGTGAGTGCTTAGCAACGTGCACAATAACGGACCCTGCCAAAAATGGCAGTACACTAATAAAACATGATGCATAAGAACAAAATACCAGAGATTTTTGCATAACTATCAAATGGAATCTGATTGAACATTATTCACATACAGTATAGTACACTAAATTGAAAACCTACAAAAAGAATTAAATGT